AAACTGAGAGGATGCTCATCAATTGTGGAATGGCTGAACAAGTTGTGGTATATGAATGTGATGGAAAACTATTATGGCATAAGAAATGATGAAGGGGATGGTTTCAGAAAAACCTGTGAAGACTTGTATGGACTAATACAAAGTTAAGTGAGCAGAAGCAGGAGAACAATCTATACAATATTATATAGTAATATTGTAATGCTGTTGATCAACTGTGAAGGCTTAGCTATTCTGATGAGTACAATGATCCAATACAACTTCAAAGGACTCATGATATTAAATGCTATCCACCTTCAAAGAAAACTGATGGATTCTGAGAGCAGATTGAAACTTTTTTCCCTTTATTTTTCTTGATTTTCCCCCCAGAACATGACTAATACAGATATTTGTTTAATGGGTATCATATTTCTTGCTTTCTCAGTAGGTGGAGGGGTGAAGGGAGAGAGAGAATGTAGAACTGAAAACAAAAATAAAATTTTAAGTTAAAAAAATAAAGGGAATGTAAACTTTGTCAGGGCAGGGACTGTTTTTCTGTTTTTGCCTTTCTTGATATCCCTGGTGTGCCAGTCCCTGCAGGAACCCCTGGGGGTCTCTAAGACCCTTTCACATAAGGCAAAAACTATTTTAGTAATAACATTAAAATGTTTTAATTTCTAACATGGCAAATATCTATAAATATAACCCACATAAACAAAAGCTCTCTGGGTTCCTTAATAATTTTTGAGTGTACTATCAGCATAATTGATCGTATCAACACCAAAACCAACAGAAACCACATGATCATCTCAACAGATGCAGAAAAAGTTTTTGACAAAATACAACACCCATTCCTATTAAAAACACTAGAGAGCATAGGAATAAATGGAGTTTTCCATAAAATAATAACTAGCATCTACCTAAAACCTTCAGCAAGCATCATATGTAATGGGGACAAGCTAGAAGCATTTCCAATAAGATCAGAAGTGAAACAAGGATGCCCATTATCACCACTGTTGTTCAATATGGTACTGGAAACATCAGCTTTAGCAATAAGAGAAGAAAAAGAAATTGAAGGTATTAGAACAGGCATAGAAGAAACAAAGCTATCACTCTTTGCGCCGCATGATATGATGACATACTTAGAGATTGATTCTAGAGAATCAAGTAAAAAACTACTTGAAATAATAAACAACTTTAGCAAAGTTGCAGGCTATAAAATAAACCCACATAAGTCATCTGCATTTCTATATATTACCAACAAAGCCCAAAAGCAAGAGATAGAAAGAGAAATTCCATTTCAATTTACTATAGACATTATAAAATATTTAGGAGTCTATCTACCGAAATAAATCCAGGAACTCTATGAACACAATTACAAAACACTTTTCACACAAATAAAGTCAGATTTAAATAATTGGAAAAACATCAGTTGCTCATGGGTAGGCCAAGCTAATATAATAAAAATGACAATTCTACCTAAGCTAATTTACTTATTCAGTGCCATACCAATCAAACTACCAAAAAATTATTTTATAGAGTTAGAAAAAATAATAACAAGATTCATTTAGAATAACAAAAGGTCCAGAATATCAAAGGAACTAATGAAAAGAAATGCAAGGGAAGGTGGCCTAGCCATTCCAGATCTTAAATTATATTATAAAGCAGCAATCATCAAAACTATTGGTACTGGCTAAGAAATAGAGTGGTGGATCAGTGGAATAGGTTAAGTAACCAAGACACAGTAGTCCATGACTATAGTAATTTATTATTTGATAAACCCAAAGACCCCAGTTTCTGGGATAAGGATTCACTCTTTGACAAAAAACCGCTGGGAAAACTGGAAAAGAGTATAGCAGAAACTAGGCATAGATCAAAATCTCACACCATATACCAAAATAAAGTCAAAATGGGTTCATGATGTAGATATAAAGGCTGATATCGTAAACAAACTGGGAGAGCAAGGAATAGTTGACCTATCAGATTTATGGAGAACAGAATTCATGACCAAACAGAAGATAGAGAACATTACAAAAAGCAAAATGGATAATTTTGATTACATTAAATTGAAAAGTTTTCACACAAACAAAGCCAATGCAACCAAAATTAGAAGGAAAGTAGAAAACTGGGGAAGAATTTTTGCAACCAGTCTCTCTGATAAGGGCCTCATTTCTAAAATATATGGAGAATTAAGTCAAATTTGTAAGAATACAAGTCATTCCCCAATTGATAAATGGTCAAAGGATATGAAGACAGTTCTCAGATGAAGAAATTAAAGCAATTTATAGTCATATGAAAAAATGTCCTAAATCACTATTGATTAGAGAAATGCAAATCAAAACAACTCTGAGGTACCACATTACACCTATCAGATTGGCTGACATGACAAAACAGGACAATGATAAATGTTGGAGAAGATGTGGGAAAATTGGAGCACTAATACATTGTTGGTGGAGTTGTGAACTGATCCACCATTTTGGATAGCAATTTGGAACTATGCCCAAAGGGCTACAAAAATTGCATACCCTTTGACCCAGCAATAGCACTTCTAGGGCTATATCCCAGAGACATCATACAAATGGGAAAAGGACCCACATGTACAAAAATATTCATAGCAGCTCTTTTTGTGGTGGCAAAGAATTGGAAATTGAGAGGATGCCCATCAACTGGGGAATGACTGAGCAAGTTGTGGTATATGAATGTAATGGAATGCTATTATGCTTTAAGAAATGATGAACAGGCTGACTTCAGAAAAACCTGGAAACACTTGTATGGTCTGATGCTGAGTGAAGTGAGCAGAACCAAGAGAACTTTGTACACAATAACAGCCACATTGTGCGATGACTAATATTGATAAACTTAACCCTTCTCAGCAATACAAGAATCTAAGACATCTCCAAAGGCCTTGTGATGGAAAGTGCTATCCACAAAGAAGAAAGAACTATGAAGTTTAAATGTAGATCGAAGCATACTATTTGCTATTTTTTTCTTCTGTTGTGTTTTGTTTCTTCTTTCTTGTGGTTCCTCCTATTGGTTCTAATTCTTCCTTACAACATGACTAATGTGAAAATATGTTTAATAGGAATGTGTATGTATAGCCTATATCAGATTGTGTGCTGTCTTGGGAAGGGAGGTGGGGACAGAGGGGGAGAAAAATTTAAAACTCAAAAGCATATGGAAGTGATTGTTGATAAATCAAAATAAATTAATTAAAAAATTAAAAAATAATTTAAAAATAATTTTTAAGAGTGTAAAGAGTCCTAACACTAAAAGTTTTAGAAGTACTGCCCTTAGCGCATGCTTGTCGACTGACTGAGAGCAAGTTCATTAAGTCATGTCTTTCTCCTCTAACCCTTTCCCAAGTGGTGCCAATCCTGAGGCTTGTCCCTGGAGGGCAATTTTGGACACTCCCATCTGCAATGCAGCAATGAAACACAGTCAAAACCTCTTACTCCAGGGGGCAGCCAGGTGGTGCAGTGGATAGATCACTGGCCCTGAAGTCAGGAGGACCTGAGTTCAAATCCAGCCTTGGACCAAACACTTGACACGTACTAGCTGTGTGACCCTGGACAAGTCACTTAACCCCAACTGCCTTAAAAAATAAAAAATTAAAAAACCCTCTTTCTCCAGGAGTAACAGTACCAACTATACACCACTCAGGCTCCCCACAAGAGACCCCTTATTGAGGACATCTGAAAACTTAGGTGAACTTGGAAACTCCCACTTTATCAATTTAGAAATTAATTCATTAGAAATATGGCTATTACTCTCCATCCTCATCACCTCCCCCCCCAAAAAAATCCTCTATCCCTTTAATTGCCTTTCTGGGTCAGTAGGTTCTCTTCCCAAATGGGCAGTGTTAATAGCCAGAGACAGTGAGGTGTTTCAGCCCTCACATTTTCTCTATTGTTATCACAGGGCTCTTGAGTTAATCATGTGGGATAGATAAGATGTTCCCTGGATTTTAGCTAATCTGAAGTCTTAGATCCCTTGAATGGGAAGGGATCTGGATTGGAGGAGAAAGGCTGAAATCCCAGATAAGCGTCTAGTAATGTCCAATGTTAGTGTCCAACACCACCACAACCTTGGATTCAGGTCCTTAATCACTTCCCTCTTTGTCTTTTTTCCTAGTTATGAAGGCACCTTAGAGTGAGAGGCTATTAAAACTAAAAGAGATCATAGAGATTGTCTAGTTCAGGGGTGGAGAACCTGTGGCCTGGAAGTCATGTGTGGTCCTCTCAGTTCTCAAGGGGATTTGTTCTGTGAAGTTTGAATTCAGTCAAAGCACCACATGTGGCCTCGAGGCCACAGATTCCCCATCCCCGGTCTAGTTCAACCTTCTGATTTTGTAGAGAAAGAAAAAGGTTGAAAGGAAATGACTTGCTGGACACCACAAAGATGGCAAATGGCAGTTCCCATTCCACTACACTACATTGCCATCCAATAGTATACATACGTGGAGTTGGTGCACGAAGACTTGTCTATTCTTGGATAGTATGGGAGGGATGTGTGTGTGTATGTGTGTGTGTATATTGCAAAACTAAATACACAAACCTCCAAATGAGGGGTTTGGCCTTCTCCCAGGAAAGAAGCAGTTAAAATCTGGGCTATCCAAGTTATACAGACCTTTCACTGGTTTCCAGAAGGACAGCACAAAAGATAATAGCAAGTGTGAGAATTTCTGGAACTATTAGGAAAGAAGAGTTATCTCAGTAAGTCTGGGAGATATACCTTTGCCCAATAATCCCCTCTACATTCTCCTCTGTCTTGAGGTTCTCCATATCTAAGGGATTGCAGCAATCTGCTCCTTGCCAAAAAGGCTGGCTCCTCCAGGCCAGCGTTCTTAGCTTCTGTTGTCTCATGGACCCCTCTGGCAGGAGTCTGGGGAAGTATGGAGTCCTTCTCAGAAGAATATTTTTAGATGCACAAAATTAAATAAAAAAATTATAAAGGAAACAAATTATATTGAAATCTATTTATTAAAATATGAAGAAAACAAGTTCACAGGCCCCAGGTTCAGAACCCTTGCTCAGGGCAAGTCAATTCACACCCCTCCTCTGAAGAGCTCTTCTCCTAGTGACTCCTTTCCCTGAACTTCCTTCTAACCCCAGTGCTTTGGATTTTAGGAGCAGAGAAGGACCTTCAGGCTCTACAAACATTTGCTGAAAGCCAGGGACATGGTGGAGAGCTGCAGCACTGGGGTGTCCTTTCTGGGGGAGGGGAGGCCTGCAGACAGAGAGAAGCTGTGTTGAGGTGATTTGGTGAGAGAGATGTGACTAAGCAGGGTGTCCAGGGATAAGGAGGTGTTGAGACTCCTGTAGTCTGCCCTGGTCAGACCTTATCTGGAGTATCATATTTGGTCCTAGGTGTCCCATTTTAGGAAGGATGTGGTTAAGCTGGAGAAAGTCCAGAGAAGAGTATCCAGAATTGTGAAGATCCTCAAAGAACTGGTTTATTTAGCCTGGAGAAAAGAAGATTTAAGGTGGGGGGATGTTTCATTATAATCATCTTCAAGTATTTGAAACATTGTCCAGTAGAAGAGGGACTAAATCGATTTTATCCAAAAGTAGAATGTTCTACCTCAAGAGGGAGTGACCTCATTGAAGGTCTTTAAGCAAAAGTTGGGTTACCACTTGTCAGTTGTGTTATAGAGGGGATCCCTTTTGCTTGGCGGGCCAGCTAGATGGCCCAGTGGATAGAGTGCTGGGCATGGAGTTAAGAAGACCTGAGTTCAAATCTGACCTCAGATACTTACTAGCTGGGTGAACCTGGACCAATCACTTAACTTCTGACTGCCTCTCTTCAATTGTAAAACAGGGGAATAATAACACTTGCCTCTGAGGATTGTTCTGAAGATTAAACATAGTAGGTGCTTAATGCACGTTATTCTCTTTCTTGTTTTTTAGTTATGGGTTGGATCAGATGACCTCTGAGCTCCTTCCAAGTCAGAAATTCTGTCTTCGAGCCTCGGGTTCTGAGACCCCACAGGGGACTGGGCTACTTGGTCCTTTGCCAATTTAGTTATTTACTCCTTATGTAAGGTGGGGTGACTTAGTCTATGCTCTCCTCTTTTATATCCTTTTCTCCTTGAATCTCCTCACTCCCCTTCCCCACAGTGTGGTCAACTAGGATAGTAAGAATAATTTCAAGTTCATCAGAGATACACTTTAAATTCATACTGAGCATGCTGCCTTATAGAAAGTACAAGTGCTCATTTTTTATTTTGGGGGATGTTTAAGAACCAGGATACTAGATAGAGAACTGTGCATTTCAGCAGTGCCAAAGTTGCTGAAGCCCCTCAGGCAGGGTACCTTGTTTTCTTGGTCTCCAGTCTTTGAAGGGGCTCTCCTCAGCTCTGTAGGGTTTTTTTTTCTTGCTCTAGACTGAAAGATGAAAAAATGAGACTTCACTTCCCACTGGAGAGTGAGTGACAACTTTGCTCACCAGGTGGCAATGGCAGAACAGTTGGTACCTCTGATGAGAGGTGTGGGGGTTCAGAGGCAGAAGAAAACATGTATTTGGGGGCATGCTGAGCGTAGAAATTTGTTTTGCTTGACTATGCATAATTGTTACAAGGATTTTGCTGTTTTGGATTTTCCCTTCATGGGGGAGAGACGGAAACAGGAAGGGGAAAAAAGTTTTCCTTCATTTAATAAAAAAAGCTTAGCTCCTGACCTCTAATAAATGTGCTCAGTCTTCTCAAAGAGAAGTCATTGATGGTGGCCCCAGCTGCTCATTGGTCTTTGTGCACTAGGGACAACTCCCTTTCCTTCTCTGCAGAGTATTATCCGGACTTTTTAGCTGTGCACTGAGCTCTTTGGAGTAACAATCCATCCAGCCTATGGGGCCACAAAGGTATGGGAGATACTTCCATGTCTTTGATGAGAAAGGTGAGGCCAGTCAGACACCTCAGGTTTTCCAATTAGCCTCGTGGTGGATAAGTCTTACTGAGCTGCCTAAGACCCAGATAAAGACAAGTGACGTGACTAGTCCGTGGTCACACAGTGTCTGATACAAAACACGTCCATAAACTTCTCTTATTTATCACTGATTTAAAGAAAAACACAAAAACCACAAGATATGTATATTTATATAGATTAACTTTATTTTTAATGTATGTACTGATTTTAAGATTAGCTGGCAGTTCATACTGATAATAACCAAAATGGCCTCCATATCTGTAACCCCTTCTGAACTTTGGTGCTCATTTAATATGAGTCTCTTACTATTATTGTCCTTAATTATACAGTTGTAGGTGGTGTGTCTATTACTCTGCATCATGTCATAGTCTTCCTACATTTTAAGAATTCATCATATTTCTTATGATGGAATAATACTGCATTATGTTCTCATACCATAATTTGTTCAACCATTTTCCCACTGTTGAATATCTCCAGTTTTGTTTTGTTTTGTTTGCTATTATAAATAATGCTGCTAGGAATATTTTTGTGTAAATAAGTTTTTTCATCCTGTCAAAACTTGCTATTGGGTCAAATATATTTGTAGCTCCTATTATATAATTCCACATTACTTTCCCAAAAGGTTAATATAGTTAATTCACAATTCCTCCAGCAGTATATGAGTAAAATGATATAACCACATCTATGCTAGCATGACTTTTATTATCTTTGCCAATTTGGGCATGAGGTAGAAGCGTAGAATTGTTTTCATTTCTAATTCTTGGATTATTAGAGTTTTTTCATGTGGCTATTGAAAATCTGTTTCTTCTTTTGAAAATTTCATGTTCTTTTGACTACTTATCTGCAAGAAAATGACTTTTGCTCTCATAAATTTACGTCCGTTCTTCATAGATTTTGAACGTCAGCCTACTATGAGAAACATTTAACTGAAATTTTTTCCTCTTCTTCTTATTCTGGGCATGTTGCTTTTTGTTGTACAAAGGCATGTAATTTCTATACAATTACATGTTCATTTGCCTCATAATTTTTAAGTCACAACTGATTAATAATTTTTCTATTCTCCACAGTTGTGAAAGATATAGTTAATTATTCTCCATTTTAAAATGCCTTTTAAAATATCTGGATTGATCCATTTGGTATTCATGGTAGTGCATGGTATAAGAAACTGATCTGTTCTTATTTTCTGCTAAACTACCACCTAGTGTTTTCATCAGTTTTTGTTGATTAATGAATATTTTCCTCAGTATTTTGTGATCTTAGGTTTCTTGAATACTAGACTACTGTATGCATTTATTGCTAACTCATTATTATCCAATTTGTTCCACTGATCTAGTTTTCTCTTTTTCAGCCAGTAACAGCTTTAATAACTACTATTTTAGAGTAAAATGTGAACTCTGGCAATGCAAGTCCTCCTTTTTCTTTTTCATAATTTCTTTTTCACAGATAAGGCTTTCTCCTTTTGAGATGACATGATAAGAGCAGAAAGATTTCTGGGTGTTGGAGTCAGGGGACCTGGGTTTAAACCCCTAATTTTCCACTTACCCCTTGTAAATCCAGGGCCACGTTACTTGACTACACTAGGCCTGAGTTTCTTCATCTGTAAAATGAGATTTTGACTAGATTAGTTCTAATGTCATTTCCAGCTCTAAACCCCTCATCCTATGATCCTGTAATCTCTGTCGCTTTTGACACAGTTGATAATTCCTTCTTCATGGGTCATCTCTCCTCCCTTTGCTTTCGTGACAATTCTTCTCTTCTGGTCCTCCTTCTTCTATTCCTTTTCAGTCTCCTTTGGTAGGTCATTACTGATGCAATGGTATCTCTTAAGACTTTGGCCTAAATGCTTGATTTCTCTCTACATTCCTTCTCAATGATCTTATCATATCCAATGGATTTAATGATCAATTCAATGCAGATGACTCCCAAATAGACATACCCATTGCTTATCACATTCCTGAGCCCCAGGCCTCCATCTCTAACAGCCTGCTGCATAATTCTACCTACAAGTCCTCCAAGCAACTCAAACTCAACATGTCCAGAGCAAAATTCATTACCTTTTCCCCTAAATCTTTTCCTCTTTCAGATTTCCCTATTTTTGGTGAAAGTACCACCATTCTTCTAATCACCCATGTTCACCATCTTAGAGTTGTCTTTGAATCTCCATTTCCCAATCCAGTTGTCAAAGTCTTGTCCTATTCCACCTCCCCACCTCTCACATCTGTACCTTTCTCTTCCCTTACATGGTCATCACCTTACAGACCCTCATCACTCATCCTCTGACTCCATAAGTACCATGACGGGACTCCTGGGCAGCTAGATGACTAAGTGGATAGAGTATCAGGCCTAGAGTCAGGAGGACTAATTTTCTTGAGTTCAAATATGGCCTCAAACACTTACTAGCTGTGTGATCCTGGGCAAGTCACTTAACCCTGTTTGCCTCAATTTCTTCATCTATAAAATGAGCTGGAGAAGGAAATGACAAACTATTCTAGTTCTTTGCCAAGGAAACCCCAAATGGGGTTATTAAGAGTCAGATACCACTGAACAACAACAAATGGGACTCCTCACTTTTAGTCTCTGTACTTTCCAATTCATCCTCAATATGTTTGCCAAAACAATCTTCCTAAAGTCCAGGTCTTACCATGTCATGCCCCTACTCAAGAACTTCAGTAGCCTCCTGATGCCTCAGAGGATCACAGATCTCCTATAGCTGGAAGGGCTCTCAGACACCATTCTAATCCAAGCCCCTCACTTCACTGGTAAGAAAACTAAAGTCCCAGATGGTTAAGTGACTTGCTAAAAGTCATGAATCTAGTAAACATTAGAAGTAGCCTTTGAACCCAGGTCCTCTGAGTACATACTGCCACTGTTCCTTCCACTATACTGTGTCCCTCAGCTTAGAATTCAAAGCATTTCAGAGTCTGGCTCCAACCTTTCTACATTTATTTCATATAAACTTCAAGAACTTTATACACCAGCCAAACTGTAAAGCTGGCTTTACACCTGTCATTTCTTGCCTCCAGGCCATTGCCATGCTTGAAATACACTCCCTGGAATACATGGCACTAGCTTTGCAAGGGTGGTAAGCGGAAGATCTAGGGTTCAAACCCAAGTCCTCTGACCCCAAAGCCAGTACAGTACTCTTTCTGTTCCATCATGTCACCTCTAGAAGGATAAAGACTTATCAATGAAAAAGGAAAAGGAAAAAGGAGGACTTGTATTGCCAGAGATCACATTTTGTTCTAAAATAGTAGTTACCAAAACTGCTACTGGCTTAAAAAGAGAAAACTAGATCAGTAGAACAAATTGGTTAATAATGAGGAAGCAATAAATGCATAGAGTAGTCTAGTGTTCAAGAAACCTAGGATCACAAAATACTGAGGAAAATATTCATTAATCAAAAAAGAGCTGTTGAAAAAACTAGACGGAGGCAGTTAGGCGGCACAGAGCATAGGCCCTGGAGTCAGGAAGACCTGAGTTCAAATTTAGCCTCAGACTTATACAACACTTATTAGCTATGTGACTCTGGGCAAGTCACTTAACCCCAATTGCTTCATCAAAAAAAAAAAAAGCAAAAAACAAAACAAAACTAGATGGCAATTCAGCAAAAAGAAAGAACAGATCAGTTTCTTATACTATGCACCACCATAAATTCCAAATGGATTAATACAAATATTTTAAAAGGCATTTTAAAATAGAGAATCAATTAAATGTGTCTTTCACAACTGTGGAAAAGAGAAGAATTATTGATCAGTTACTGCTTAGGCTCATTAGCTTCCTTTAAGATTGAATTCAGGTGCCACCTCTACAGGAAACTAGTAGGATCTAAGCTTAGTCCTTGACAGGCAAGTAGTGTTTTTGTTTATGTTTGCTTTTCTGTCTTGACATATACATTGTGCTTGATCCCCTACTAGTCTGTTGACATCTCAGTGCCCTAACCTGCTCTCTAAGATGATAAAATTGCAGAAAAGCTGCTGATCTCTATGAGTGGAGGGACTTTCCTCTCCTGGGGAATACCCTATACCAATGTAACCATAAATGCATTCCCTATCCCTATCCCCTGGCTCTGACTCCTTGAAGTTTTTCAGAAAGGATGCAGAAAATGCAGAAGGATGCCCCGCCTCCACCACCACCACCCTCCACCATGGCCACCTTTGACCATTTCAAAATAAAAATCCCTTTTGCTGGGAGGCATGGGGGGAAAGTGGGAGATTTTGTGGCCGAAGAACCTCAGGTGACTGTAATGACTCTTACCTCCTTTGTGTCTTCCTTTATTCCCAGTTTGGCCATGGACTCCAGCATACACTCAGGCCTCTGGTATCAGTAACCTCTAATAGGATGTTTTTGAAGAATCGGCTCTCAACCTGAAGCCCCTTGCAAGCTTCAGAGGCCACTATAAAACTGGAGAACCACTCCCAGCAAGCATGTTTTAAATCTATATGGGTATAGGTGAGGGTGCTCAGGAGAAAGGGACCATGAAAAAATCAGAAGAGATAAAGGCTCGTCATACACAGCATCATGGCTCTGACTGAAGGCCTCCTGTGTATATACTCCCACACTCACAAACACACACTTGTTACAAATACCTTATCAATCATGGGTTCATAGAATCTTTAATCCTGTCTCTTTTGTTATTTTGTGCTGTCCCAAAACAAAAGCCATTTTCATTGCCCAAAAAAGTAGACTCAATCAATTTCTTGATGTCCTATAAACACAGGGCACATGAGGGACAGAAAGTATAAGTTAGTGTTCTTGATGGTAGAGTCAAGATGGCAGCATGAAAGCAGTGACTTGCTTGAGCTCTACCCCAAACCCCTCCAAATACCCATAAAAAAATAGCTCTAAACAAATTCTAAAGCAGCAGAACCCACAAAAAGACAGAGTAAAACAAATTTCCAGCCCAAGACAGCCTGGATGGTTGATCAGAAAGGCATATCGTGCCAGGCAGGTAGAGGAGCGCAGTTCGGCATGGGCGGGCAGGCCCCAGCGAACCTAGAGCAGGTCTCAGAGGACTGAATCATGGGCAGCTGTGGCGGCTTCCAGACTCCTCAATCCACGAATGCCAAAGACAACTTAGAAGGTCAGTGGGAAAAGTCTGTTTTTGCAGTGAGAGAAGAGCTAGGTCACAGCCAGGTCCAGAGCCCAGAGCTCAAAGCATGGGTGCCGGGGCGGTGGCTGTGTTCTGAGCTTCCAGCCCACAGACTGAGAGGGAATCAAGTAGCTGATCAGAGGGGGACTGCAGGGATCTCTTTGCTGGTGCTGAGGCAGGAATCTCTTGCTTTGCCCGTGCTTGGGTCTGGGTCACAGTTCTGGGTGGCAGTCATGGGGTGAGGAGCAGCGTTGGCATGGTGGAGCTTGTAGTGGCAGTGGAGAGGAAACCCTCCTCACAGTTCCAAGAAAAGAAAAGACTGCTTGGCCAGGAAAAGAGTAAACACCTCGACCCTTATCATACTACCTTGGAAGAACTGAAAATTTACAGGTCCCTAGAAGTATCTCTTAAAACAGCTATACAAGCCCCCAAAGCTTGGGACAGGACATTCTCCACATTGCAAACAGATTTTTACCTTAACAAAGAGCTTAAAACTCAAGTAGTTGGCTGGGATCATGAGCAAACTTCGCAAAAAGAGTCAGACTATATTATCTTACTTTGGTGAAAAAGAAGATCAAAACATACAACCAGAAGAAGACAACAAAGTCAAAGCTCCCACATCCAAAGCCTCCAAGAAAAATATGAATCCATCCCAGGCCTTGGAAGAGCTCAAAAGGGATTTTGAGAAGCAAGTAAGAGAAGTAGAGGAAAAACTGGGAAGAGAAATGAAAGTGATGCAAGAAAATCATGAAAAACAAGTCAACAGCTTGCTAAAGGAGACCCAAAAAAATACTGAAGAAAATAACACCTTAAAAAATAGCCTAACCCAAATGGCAAAAGAGGTCCAAAAAGCCAATGAGGAGAAGAATACCCTAAAAAGCAAAATTGGCCAAATGGAAAAGGAAGTCCAAAAGCTTACTGAAGAAAATACTTCCTTAAAAATTAGAATAGAGCAATTGGAAGATAGTGACTTTATGAGAAATCATGACAAGGTAGAACAAATCCAAAAGAATGAAAAATTAGAAAACAATGTGAAATATCCCACTGGAAAAACAACTGACCTGGAAAATAGATCCAGGAGAGAGAATTTTAAAATTATTGGACTATCTGAAAGCCATGATCCAAAAAAGAGCCTAGACATTATCTTTCAAGAAATTATCAAGGAAAACTGCCCTGATATTTTAGAACCAGAGGGCAAAACAAAAATTGAAAGAATCTATCAATCTCCCCCTGAAAGAGATCCCCAAAGGAAAACTCCTAGGAATATTGTAGCCAAATTCCAGAGTTCCCAGGTCAAGGAGAAAATATTGCAAGCAGCCAGAAAGAAACAATTCAAGTATGGTGGAAATACAATCAGGATAACACAAGATTTAGCAGCTTCTACATTAAGGGACTGGAGGGCATGGAATATAATATTCCAGAGGACAAAACAGACAGGATTACAACCAAGAATCACCTACCCAGCAAAACTGAGTATAATCCTTCAGGGGAAAAAATGGTCATTCAGTGACACAGAGGACTTTCAAGCATTCTTGATGAAAAGACCAGAGCTGCAATTGGGTATGGAAATCTGTCTTACCCTACAGGAAACTAGGAGAGGACGGGGACAAGAGAGAAGGGGGAAAAGACCAGAGCTGAATAGAAAATTTGACTTTCAAATATAAGACTCAAGTGGAACATGAAGAGGTAAACAGGAAAGAGAAATCATAAGAGACTTATTAAGGCTGAACTGTTTATATTCCCGCGTGGAAAGATGACATTTATAACTCATAAGACCTTTGTCAGTATTAGGGTAGTGGGAGGGGAAAAATTGTATGTATGTATAGATAGACAGATAGACAGACAGACAGACAGACAGACAGACAGACAGACAGACAGACAGATAGATAGATAGATAGATAGATAGATAGATAGATAGATAGATAGATAGATAGATAGAGGGCACAGGGTGAGTTGAAGATGAAGGGGTGATATCTGGAGAATAAAATTAAGGGGTGAGAGAGGATTATACTAGGAGAAGGAGAAAGGGAGAGGTAGGATGGGGTACATTACCTTGCACAAAACAGAAAAGTTTCTTACAGTGGAGGGGAAACAGGGGAAGGTGACAGGAAATGAGGGAATCTTATTCTCATAGGATTTGGCTTAAGGAGGGAATA